TCAATATATGTCATAGTCTATTTCGGTGAGTTCCCAACAAAATTATGTGTGAATTTCTTGTCTCTTCTGCACTGGAACACGGCATCCGTTCCTAAAAGCTAATAAGGTTCACATTGAATTGCTCAACAGGTTTCAAAGCACCCTTACGTGACTGAAAACAAAGCGTGCAAACCCTTGATCTCGGAGACGCACAAATTCCTAGACGACGTGGAAAGGTTGTCGAAGGAAGACAAGGACCTCATGACACCAAGGATTGCCCGCCCGCGAATCCCTCAGGACATTCTGTTTGCTATTGGTGGGCGTCGCGACGGAAAGGTGACAGATGTGATCGAAGCGTACGACGCACGAGCACTCTTTATTTCATGTTCGTTTATTTCCATTGCAGTGAAACCTCTTTTAAGAGAAGCTACAAAGACATGAATTAAAAAGAATAAATAAATAAATAAATTACACAGGTTTTAAGTCTCATGTAAAATGTAAGTTCTAAGAGGAATCGACGAAATATGTGAAGTTTTCCTTAAATACCGTTTACAATAAGCGTCCTACTTCAACTGTCGTCAGTGGATTTCAACGTAATAAATGAAGCACTGATCAGTGTCGATGTTGGCCATCTGCGTGGTAAGGCCTCGTGAATTAAAAGGCTTTGGGGTGGGGTGGGGGGCGTACTGCCTCCAGCTTTGCGTCGATAAAACCCTAAACACCAACATGTGGCTTTACTATCTTACGAACCTGAAATGTCAGCTGTTGATCAGAAATTAATTCTACATTTGTTTGTCGAACTTGACGAGAGCTTCTCTTCGGGTCTTCCTGCTTCCTCCGCCTGTCATAATTCAACCATTGCTCCAAGTTAATTTCTCACGGTGTTTGTCGAGTGCCACCCTCCACGGTGTAGCAATTTCGGTCCACTTTTGGGGGTTGTACCCCTGCTCTGGTGGTTGGTCGCTTGGACTGTAATGTAAGGACTTGACTTCAGTAGACTAAGTGACCCAAAGAAACATAAATCCATAACCTGTCGTTCCTGCAGGTAGAAGGAGTCGATTCGATCGGTCCACGAATGGATCATGGAACGGCAGTGGTCGGGTTCGACATTTACGTCATCGGTGGTTGCAACGACGTCTTTGGAGGTTTAAGCACATGTCTCTGCTTCAACGCCGTTACGAAGACATGCCGCAAGGTGGCGCTTATGGCCGAACGCAGGTAAGAAGCAGCTTTGTAACTAAGGAACTCCTTGGAACAGATTCCTTCTTCAAAAGCTGATAGTCGCTCAGTTATTCAAGATATAAATCTGGGCAGGGGCTGTAAAATTGTTCCACTCACATACACGAGCATCGTGCAAAGTGCGAATATGTAGGAAGACCTTAGCGACAATGTTGGCTTTAAGAATGCGATTTGCTTGTTAATTCAATTGAATTAAGATTTAACAATGACGAGCGAACAATTGCTTTCTGCGAGAGGAAATGCATCTGAATCAGAAATAAATGAGCATAGCAGAGCGTGTACTTTTTTCGTTTCAGAAACAAATTAAGTGTGACAGTTCTGCGGGGTGCTGTGTACGCCATGGGCGGTCAAGATGGTAGTCGGATTCACAGAACGGTTGAAAGATACGACTGCAAGACGAACAAGTGGTCTTTGATCAATCCCATGAACAAACAGCGTGCCCGTGCACGTGCGGCTGTACTGAATGGTAGGTAAATGCTGTGAAACATAAATTTGTGAATTAGTGTCTGTCTGTCCGCGTGTAAGAACGCAAGAAAGTTTGAAGGAATCGCGGGATTTGAGGTACTCACGGCGGCTGGTACGAAGATGGCTGTCGTTTGACTTCTGTCGACGTTTCAGACGAACTTTATGCCTTCGCTCTTGATCTTAGTTTCCTTCATTCCATTGTCCCATGTTCTTTTATTATACCTTTCTTTTATCTGTGCTACGTACTATGTTATTTTAGAGACTGCAACGGCTTGAAGTTCTGAGTGCGTGATGGTTTCTTCTGCTCTTGTGAGCTGTCCCTGTGCGTCATCTTCTGCCTTTTTAATGTACACTAGGAGTGAATGCAAACAAAAATTAAACTATCAACCTGGCTCTCATATAACACATATAATGCAGTTTCTGTGACTCGAAGGGGTACTTAATAGATTTACAAATTTAAGTACGGATTGTCCCATGTTTGTGCTCTTCATGGACCAGTTAAATGCCTCTGCCTTAAACAAATATGTTTACAGTTCGTGTCATATGGCTAATTTCTTTTTACAGACAAAATATACGTCGCTGGTGGGGTTAATTGTTACGGTTATCTAAACTCGGTGGAAGTTTATGACCCGGACACCAACCGATGGACATTCGTTGCACCAATGCTTTCCGTACATCTGCTTTTTTCTTGCGTCGAGTTCCACGGCTGTCTGTACGCCCTGGGTGAGAACTCTGGACATTCTGAGTGATGCTGCTCTGTCCTTCTATCATCCGTCTAATATTGATACACTTGTAAACCAAGATCAAACTTGAATTTAAAATGTCACGGAACACTGGTTGAGAAACTCTACAACGATGCCTTTGAGGCACGGACTGACCAGCCATTGAAGGAGGACTAGTGTTCCAGCCCAATTTGAATCGCGCTCCACACTTTAATAACTACTGTCTCCATTATGCACTGCACTGAAGTCGACTTCAGAACACAACAAAAACAAATGCACATAGCTCTTCGTGTGATGCCAAAATTAACCTCATTTTAATGCATCACCTGCATGAGTAGAATATCAATTGATCTCATCGATATTTCAGCGCTGCTTCTCGTGTCGAATCAGGGATGCGTGCATCAGTGGGTTACGTCAAATCGCGCTCCTAACCCAACTCTCAGAGCAGGGGCTCAGGACACATCCGAGGGAGCAGTTCTTCTAGACACAACGCGACCAAAGGTTTTCCTGACTTTGATCAAACATTAATATGAACCGCTTAGGGGCGAAGCAGTCAGCGCAGTGACCGGCTACGGAATGGACGACCGGTGTTCGTATTCCGGAAGAAACAGTGGTTTTTCTCTTGGCAGTCCTGTTCAGAATCAAACCTGGACCCAGAGTACAGGAAAAAACCCAGGAAATCTGTTTAACCTTCTTCATTTTAATAATTCATAATAAAGGAATCGATTGAAGATTATTCTTGGGCTTTCGCCCTTAAACGCTGTCTTACTCAGTAGCTCCGAGGTCATCTGATCAAATTAGCAAACGGCTCGGCGGATCTACAGTTCATATCCTGACGTGGGGAGTCCAGGATCCATCGATTCCCTGCCAGGGATACGACACGGTCGCGCCTTACCCCCGGGAAGGGACCCCCAAAGAAGGAGGCTGGGTGGGCCCCAGAGCCGGTCTGGACGCAGAGGCTAGAGGAAAAATCCTCTGCCCCTGTCGGGGATCATTATTAAAAATATTACTTGCCACTTCTTGCGATATTTAGATGATGGCTGGATAATATCAGGCGGGATCTGTGGGAGATAAGAGTTGAAGGAGACTGGATTTTGTTGGCCTAGGACAGGGCTTTGGTTGGTTCGGTGATGAACCTTCGGCTTCCGTAAGCCACGTAGTTGGTTAACTTCATAAAATATCATTTGCAAAGAATACGTCGTGTGATTTGGAAGATGAAGTGTTGACAACCTTCTCTGCAGTGAAGTCAAGAACATGGACATCGGAACAATGTGACCTGTGGCCATCTACGAGGGGCAAAATTCCTCTCGAATTAACGAGTCTCAGGACAGGGTCGATGGCGGGCTATCTGGAACACGATAATGAAACGTCTCGGTCCATAAAATGCAAGGAACTCTGTTTCGCTAGTTTGGAGTACTTTTAGATTCTCAAGGACTCTGCTCCATAGTAAAAAATACATGGAGGCTGGATAATATCAGGCGGGATCTGTGGGAGATAAGAGTTGAAGGAGACTGGATTTTGTTGGCCTAGGACAGGGCTTTGGTTGGTTCGGTGATGAACCTTCGGCTTCCGTAAGCCACGTAGTTGGTTAACTTCATAAAATATCATTTGCAAAGAATACGTCGTGTGATTTGGAAGATGCAGTGTTGACAACCTTCTCTGCAGTGAAGTCAAGAACATGGACATCGGAACAATGTGACCTGTGGCCATCTACGAGGGGCAAAATTCCTCTCGAATTAACGAGTCTCAGGACAGGGTCGATGGCGGGCTATCTGGAACACGATAATGAAACGTCTCGGTCCATAAAATGCAAGGAACTCTGTTTCGCTAGTTTGGAGTACTTTTAGATTCTCAAGGACTCTGCTCCATAGTAAAAAATACATGGGAATAAAACGAAACAGCCGGCAGGCACCATAATTCTTGACTGCCTTATTTATGGCAAGAATAAATCATGGTTTACATAGTCTATTAGCTATTAGAGCTCATTTCGGGTTAACTTCATAAAATATCATTTGCAAAGAATACGTCGTGTGATTTGGAAGATGCAGTGTTGACAACCTTCTCTGCAGTGAAGTCAAGAACATGGACATCGGAACAATGTGACCTGTGGCCATCTACGAGGGGCAAAATTCCTCTCGAATTAACGAGTCTCAGGACAGGGACGATGGCGGGCTATCTGGAACACGATAATGAAACGTCTCGGTCCATAAAATGCAAGGAACTCTGTTTCGCTAGTTTGGAGTACTTTTAGATTCTCAAGGACTCTGCTCCATAGTAAAAAATACATGGGAATAAAACGAAACAGCCGGCAGGCACCATAATTCTTGACTGCCTTATTTATGGCAAGAATAAATCATGGTTTACATAGTCTATTAGCTATTAGAGCTCATTTCGGGCATGAAAACAAAAAGTTAAAATCCTCGCAAAAGCAGTGGTTCGTACACTCGCAAAGAACGCGTGCCCAGAATTTACTGTCGACACTAGCCGAAGGGCGGAGACGCCAAAGGACGTCAGACAAAATGAAGGAACAGGCCAAGAGATTAATCCGCGACGCTTATGATCATGTAAACTGACTGGAATCCTGACACGCTGATGGTCGCTCAACTAGTCAAATATCCCTCCTCTTAAACGCAAAATCCCAAATTGTATCACAGTCTTCAAAAGAGACCGTCATTGTAAATGTCTTCCTCCAGATAAATCCAGTTCACATCTTATTCCAGTAAGATCCATTTGAATATTATATTCACATCTACGCCAAGGCGTACGAGTTACTTCGCCTCTTCAGGCTTCACACCAAAATGCTGTACAAATATCTCGCCTTGCTCATGCATGCTACATGACTTAACAATTTCAGTATCATTGACCTAATCGTCCAAATATAACTATTTTAACAGTAAAATCCATTAAGTTCTTTATTGTGAATTTTTCTCCATTTGTCTCTGGCCTTCACTTGTTTTCTCCCTTTGTGTAATGACGTGTAATAATGAATTCTTCTGCAAGAAGGGCGTAACTCTAAAAGGGACAGAGAAATCAATTTTCGTGTTCGTTCGTTCGTCGAAACCCTGATCTCGCATGCGCCTTGCGAACAAACTTCGACGATGTTTGCATAGGCCTCGTGTGCCAGTTACATTTCCACTTTCTATTGATTTTATATGCAAGCCTGTACGTTACACAAAACGACTTACAGAATGGGCGAAAATGTTTTACTCAAACTAATCAAACTGAACAAATAATATTCAGCGAGTCTTAATATTCATTGTAATTGTTATATCAACGTAAACTCACATAAAAATCATAATGAGAACTTTCTGTGGTGTAACTTTAGCTCTACGAGTGCAAGATGCTGGTTCTAAATATCTTTCTGGTGCATTCTGCTTAAGCGGGAGTGCTAACCACTCGACCATAATATTCTGCATGTGTTAAGTAAGCTTTATACCATAAAACATGTTCAGCAAATTCAAACAACGTTGCTTCATCATAATCCAGGTTTTGCGAAGTCAAACTTCATGTCAGAGGATTGCATAACGCCCAAAAGATGGGAGTATGCCTTTCAAAATGCTCATAAATTGTATACTTTAATCAATTACTGCAAGTAATAACATATTAAACTACTTTATTTTGTCAATGGTAACCGAGTTAAGAAAATATTAAAACAAAAGTGAACACACTTTCAGACCGAGCTGACGCTTTCCCACAAATAAGATTTGTGTGGAACTGAGGTTAATTTGGGTACAAATGCTGAAGAAACTAATTACACTTTCATACGGAAGACAAACATTTAATAAAACATTAGCAGAAGCTCTGCTCAAGGAAGCAACAATACTGTTGATCTAACAATCACCCTGATGATGGAGGCAGCAAGATCTCTGAAATGTCGGCGCACTTCCACTAGACTACGCAACTCTACGAACCAGAAATCTTACCACCAGGAAAAGCTCAAATTACACTTAACAATCATTACTTAATAGAACCCTTGGTCTGTCCTAGAGGTTACAAGGTTAGCCCCATAACATTTCTGATTGCAGCAATGAAGATAAATATTCTGCCAGGAACTGAACCCTGACCAAGGTCCAAAGCCTGGCACTCACTGATTAAGCTATCACAGAACAGAGGACAGGTAACACACTTCGATTGGGATCTCCCTTCTTCTGTGTTCTTAAGTTGTTAGATCCGAAATATAAATTTTTTTACGCACAAGAAAAGCTCGTGCGAATTTCGCGTTAATGCTTCTAACCAGCCTCGGCAATTAAATAATCTCATCCTTACAATCTATTCGATGTAGTTCCGGGACCGGTTGTCCTGACATACGTTTTACGTTGTTTTATTTATTTCTTTCAGGCACATTCTGTGATAGTATCGGAAACTAGGCCGTAGTCCATTCTTTCAACGTACGAGGTGCGATCAGAAAGTTTACAGACTGTGTCAATTGAGGGCGAACTGGACGTAGGTTGCAGTCTACCTTCTCTTAATATCGGACACACAACACATCATTACAACCCGATATAAAACATCCAAGCACAACCTCCAAATTTAAAGGAAGAGACAAAAACTTAAAATTAAACAAATCAAATTAATCAATATACGCAACGCAAGATGTACAACAGTTTTAAAATATATTAAAATTGAAAGACCTGATGATGATGTAATACACATTGAAACATGTCGTCGATACAAAAAATGTAACAAGATGCAGTATCTACTGAGAATGTTATAATTTTAAGTAATTTTAAACAACATTATTTTAAGTTTGTGTATAGA